GGTTGTATTCCTCACATCTTAGAATACTTTTATCACGAAGATCTCTTTGGAACTTTCAGTATTTCTCAAAACGTAATTTTGACAGACTGCTATGCAAAGTGTACGGATCGGATTAACCAGTAGATTTCCTCTTTTGGAAAGTGGTGGCAAAGAGTTCCCCACGTCGTAAGGATACGATAGTAAAACACGAAGTACGGATAGGGTTAATTCCACTTTGGCACGATATAGGTTCTTTTTTTTCCAGTGGTGTTTTACCTATTTAGAGCAATTCAAAAAGGGAAGCATAAGCACGTCGTTCATACAAATTGCTCGATTCTAGTTTCTTTAACGGAAACTTAAGACATACAGTTAACAGCGTGCATACTATGAAATATGCAGATTCGTATTTCTGGTCAATGTATGATCGGTGAAAGTATCACGGAACATTGCAGTGGATTTGTTGTTGATCAAAGACCTCTGTGTCCGCCACGTTCTTAAAGGGTTAGCTTCATTGTCCAGGAAAAGCGAGGTGAAATGAGACTCACAACTCATCTCTTTAGATCCTTCTATATATCTCTATATCACTCTATATCTCTCTATATCTCTCTATATCTATCTAGATCTCTCTATATCTCTCTTTATCTCTCTCTATATAAATATTTCTATCTTTCTCTATCTCTTTCTATCTCTCTCTCTATATATATATATATCTCTCTCTAGATCTCTCCATACATCTCCTGTTTAAAAGTGGTTGTAACCTGGCTTTGTTAAAAGGTTCAAACGTCGCTTGCGTCACCGACAGAGCTAAACTTTCGGACACATGAGAAGATGTCGTGTCAGTCTTATTTCAGTTTTGAGCCAGTAAGAGAATAGAGCAGTCTACCGCACTAAGATAAAGCTGCCCTGGAATTTGACGACACGCCGAGTTCCATACACCTACAAACAAACATACATCCAGTGGTGCTTTGATGACACTTCCAGGGCCAACCGGGCTGAGAGGGATACAACATCCCAGCAGACAGACCCGGGCTGAGAGGGATACAACATCCCAGCAGACAGACCCGGGCTGAGAGGGATACAACATCACAGCAGACATACCCGGGCTGAGAGGGATACAACATCCCAGCAGACACACCCGGGCTGAGAGGGATACAATATCCCTGTAGAAAGGCCGAGTTACTGGGACAGATTTTCTCTCCTCTCGAGAATCAAAACCGGGTTTCCAGCGTAGGACGGTGAAACCTCCCACGGCGGTGCTACTGACTGAAGTGTATTTAGGCCATTCCCAAAGGGAGGACATTAACATCTTGAGTTCTTATGCACAGTAGAATTGTAAATGGGCTGATTCATCGATGTCATGCTCATAACTGAGCCTGAACTACAACAGGGAACTGCTGCTTTTTTCCCCTAATCCTTACTATCGTCATTTTTCCTCTTCTTCTTTTGTATGTTTGTCACACTCTTGTGACCTGCTATTTCCGGGGTGCATTGACAGTCGACGCAGACGTTATGTTGTTGAAGCTAGAAAGGTGAGCAGAGTAAGCCTGATTCCCTGTAAGGACTTCTCTGTTGACATCCACCCCTTGGCGCTCATATGACCTTAAGCAGTTGTGAGCGCCGTAAAATCTCAACAAAAAAAGGTAGGACAGTGAGGCACCAAACCAGTCCGCCACAGACGCCGATTCGTCTTACTTATGTGCACTCACTGTTGTTTACCAAACCATCACACGGTCCAAAAGTTGTCTCCCCTATTTTTTCTGATCTCTACCTAGATCAGTAAAGATCAGTAACGGTCACTAAATTGGTTTGGGAGAAATCGTGTTTGGAAAACTGTCACACAAAGGACTGTGCTTCCAAAAGGAGCCACATAATGCAATCTCGGGTCTCCTCACTTATCGAACTTCTTATACAACGCGGGAAAACCGCTGGACCGTTGGGACTGGTCGTGACGTCACTGTGGGGGTCTCGGTGGAGACTTGAAAGAGACGTATCTTTGTCCTCCGGCGGCCACCTCTTCTTCCCGTCCCTACCACAGACAATAGCTGCTAGACTGCAGCAAAGAGCAGAAGTTACAGACCAGGATATCTACTCCTTTTTTGAAGGGCAGCCACTCCACACTCAAAGACTACAGGATTACAAAGAAGAAGAAGAAGAAGAAGAAGAAGAAGAAGAAGAAGAAGAAGAAGAAGAAGAAGAAGAAGAAGAAGAAGAAGAAGAAGAAGAAGAAGAAGATC